AACTTAACTTGAACATTTTATCCTTAATAATCCATTTATAATTTTATAATGTCAAGGTCTAGTAATGAGGGAAATATAATTGTGTATTAATTATATGTTGAATTTTTTTACACCTATTCTTTTTACAGTAGAAAATTATCTTCACTTGAAAATTAAACTAATTTTTTATCATGCCATGTGAGTTTTAGAAAATCAAGATGGGAAATTGAAAGCTGATAAAACTTTAATTTTGTTATTTTATTTTTATTTTATTTTATCCTAAAAGCTGTTGCTTTGCTTTCAAAAATTGTATTTACAAAACTATTCCTAATATGCTGATATTTGTTCATACAAAAATAGACATACACAAGTTTTTCCTTTATATCCTCGAGTTCATCAAACTCAATTTTTTTTTCCTTTATGATCTCAGCACTTCTCTGTAGCACGTCATGATGTCCTGTTTCAATGACATCATCACTAGGTTTCAACTGGTCCCATCGAGCTTTAAATTTTTCCAGTTCCTGAAGGTAGGTATTAACACGGGTTTTCACATTGCCTTTCATCACTTCGATCTGAAATCCAAAGAGTAAGTAAAACAGGAACAAAAGGATTATTATTAGTTTATTCTATAAACAGCTATATATTAACAGGATGGATTACTATAAAAATAACTATTAACATTGTTCTAAGGGTAGTTTATCACTTTATCATACTATTAATTTGTACTCTTAAATACAATTTCAAATTAGCAGTGTTGTGTTAGATATTTTTCTTAAAAAGAATGAAAGGAATCTTGAAACTGAAGATACAATCCAGATCTTGCCTTACCACCTTACAGGGGAAGACTTACAGATTCAAGCATATCAGAGATTCTGGAAAACAGTATGAATAACAACCATGTATTGTCTTTGGAAGTAATCAAAAAATATATATGGAACTGCATGCTGGAATCTCATAATTTTCCATGAAATGTTTTACTTATCATATAGTATCCTAGGTTTAAACAGGGAATTTTAAACATTTACAAAATTTCAAAAATTTAGAACAATCCCCTAGAATACTGGGCATTTTATGTCAACTTTTGAAGACTTAAAATAGCTGTTCTTCGCTCAAACCTGTTAGATATACATATGGAATGGATTTATATATATATATATAACTATATAATGACTCTTAGTTACCTGTTCTTTAATCATTAGCTGATGACTCTCCATCATTAACTCAAATTTGTCCCATGTAGCTCTCAAGCTGCCAATTGCTTCAATGCCCCCACCAGCCACAGTTCGGAGAAGCTTGTTTTTACTTTCTGCTTCTTGGAAAAGGAGAAAGACCTGAGCAGAGAGATTTGATATTAGCATAAAGCTCAAATCCATAAATACATTAATAAATATTTTAACATCACCTTTTATGATTATGCAATGTTTGGAGTAGAAAAAAAATAAACTTGGATGTGTACACAGCATGTAGGCGAACGAACGCTTCTGTTCTTGAGATTGTGCAATATTGCAACAATGAAATAGTGTAAGGCAATAACGAAAGTCAAGAAAGTAAAAAAAAAAAAGATGTTGAGACTCTAGAAAGAGTACAGAGAAGAGCAACAAAGATGATTAGGGGACTGGAGGCTAAAACATATAAGGAACGGCTGCTGGAACTGGGTATGTCTAGTTTAATGAAGAGAAGGATGAGGGGGGACATGATAGCAGTGTTCCAATATCTCAGGGGCTGCCACAAAGAAGAGGGAGTCAGGCTATTCTCCAAAGCGCCTGAAGCCAGGACAAGGAGCAATGGGTGGAAGCTAACCAAAGAGAGAAGCAACCTAGAACTAAGGAGAAACTTCCTGACAGTTAGAACAATTAACCAGTGGAACAACCTGCCTCCAGAAGCGGTGAATGCACCAACACTGGAAGTTTTTAAGAAGAAACTGGACAGCCATTTGTCCGAAATGGTATAGGGTTTCCTGCCTGAGCAG